CCCCCCCCCAGTGTCTCCCTCTAACTAGATATAGCTCTAAATACTAAAACTTTAATCTCTGCACTGCTTGGTGAATAATTTTTATAAATCATTGGCTTTAGAAGCATGCGTGTGTGTGTGTGTGTGTGTGTGCAATGTAAATCAATATAGACTTAGTATCTTAAAAGCAAATGTTGTGTTGTGAGATTTCTTAAAGAAAAAATATTTTCTTTATTAGTATAGGAAAAATTGTATTGATTGATATTTCTCCTCTCAGATTTGCAGAATTCTACTAAGAATTATAAGGAACCACTTCTAATTAATTACATATTGGAAATATATGGAGATGCCTTGTATTCCGAAAAGAAGTGCAACAATACAGATGACATCCAGAAAAAATGGATTTTTGCTCAACACATATTTTTAGTTTATTACTCTGAGATACAGCATAATAATTCCTGACATAATTTGCTCATTCGAATATAGACAAACTTTGAATTCTTGTGGAGTAACTTTCTGTTTTGAGATAATTGTTGATTCACATGAAGCTGTAAGAAATAACACACAGAGCTTCTCTGACACTCTTCCTTCAAGTTCCCCCAATGGTAACATCTTGTAAAACTGCAACAATATCACAACCAGGAAACTGATATTGATGTCTGCAGTTCTCATGCACTGTGTGTGTGTGTGTGTGTGTAGGTGTGTGTGTGTGTGAGCATGTGTGTGCATGTGGGTGTGTGTGTGTGCGTGTGTGTTCCATTCTATACAATCCTACCACATGCGTAGACTCAGGTGACCACACGGAATCTCTTTCTAAGCAGTTTTGTTTTCAGTGCTTCATCTGGGCTTTATTTTGAATCCACTCAGGTCTGTATCTCTCAGGTTCTATTTCTTCTTTATGGCTTTCTGTTTCTTGGCTACAGTAACATGTTCATCTCTTCTTTGAATTTTATTGCCTCCTTGCTAGTGGAGAGCTTTGTCTTTGGTTTGCTTTTTGCGGCACATTTATCCTTTCCCAGGGAAAGACACAAATATAAACAGACATTCCAGCGTGCATTCACGGGGTTTTTAAAGACACCAGTGAGAATAGATTAATATAAATACTAAGCTTAAAAACTGTCATAAAAGCTCAGCCTTTAAAATTGGCTTATTAAAATATTTGTTTTTTTAAAGCCCAGATTTAAACTAAAGTTATGAGTTATAGTGCTCTGCTCACAGAGGTTACTTTATGATCTCTTTGCCAGGCAAAAGGAATCTGGCATCTGTGCGCCTCTGCAGGATACAGAGCAGTAAGCATGGCGGAAACTGAGTTCTTTCAGGCTCAAAACTTGTGTGAAAATAGTACCGTATTCGGGGAAGCTCAAGACGGACTGTATTTCAAACGACCTCCAACAGCCTCTCTCAGAGCCCCGTGCCTCCAGCCCCCACTCAGGTCAGACCAGTTGCAGGGCTTTTCTTTCTGTGAGATTGAAAGAGTAACTACTGATATTTAAGGGAACAACGTCCACGTCACGAGGTCAACTCCCAACGTGGATCTTACTGGTTTTATAACAAAACATTGCTTATATTGAGTTGTCGGAAAAGTCATGATGTAATTTTTCTGTTTTTCATTGCAAAAATGCGTCATGACTTTTCTGACAACCCAGTAATTCAGGGACCTGTCTTTCACCCTACACCTTTTGATGAATCAAAGCCCTGCTGACATTCTTTGTTTCAGTTCTCCACGGGGAATTAACTGGGCTTTTTTTGAGACCAGCTAGCATTCCAAATATAGCACTTAACACACACCTCCAAGAAGTAAATGTGCAGGAGGAAAGAGCTTACACAGATTGGATGGTGAGCGTGTCGCACTCTGTTCTCCAAAGTAACCACAAGTTCTCAGGGAAAAAAACACCACCAGAAAACCGTTGGTTTGTTGAGCATGGTCACCTACTGAAAATCTGTTCATAGTTTGCAGAAGTTAGATGTTTTCTTTAACCACAAAGCAGGAAAAAAGGGGGACTGTCCAATAAGTAGTGGCCACCTGCCCTGGCCCTGCAAGCCCACGCCTCTCAGCCTACCCCTGAGCCTCAGGCATTTAACGAAAATACTGAAAACTCCTCTGAGAGTCTTCAATTAGATGAACCCAGCTGATCGTCCAAAGACCCCAATTTATTGCCTACCTGTGATTTTAAATAACAGGCCAGAGAAGAAAGTCAGGGTAAACAGCAGAACCGGCCATACTCCACCATTTCCTGGGTTTCTCTTTATATCAAGGCACAATTTAGGCTTTGTCTTGCTGCTGTTCATCTAGACACAGCTTTTCCTCCACATACGTGCAAACATCTCACGTTAGACATTAAAATCACATACCATTTACTGAGAGGTCTAGAAATCCTTTCCTGATACACACAACTCATGTTTCTTTAAAAGGTTACAAATAAATAACAAATGCCACTTAGCAACATTCTCGGGAAATCAAACCAATGCTGACTGTACTTACAGAGACTAAATGGATTAAAAACAAAAGGCATGCAAAGTGTTTGTCTAATATGCCTGATAAGTGAAAACAAGGTGTGTCCAGGGTCATTCGAGTGTCTAGAACTTCCATGTTGCCCTCCTCTCTTGTGAAGAGAGGGTATCTATCTATCTGCCTAAAGAAACTGGTTTATCCGAACTAGTCAGTTATGTTCAAGCATATAAAAATAAAAACAAATGTGCCCTCATATAGCTCATTTGCTCTCCAGCTGAATGTGTTAGCTGTTAAATTTTAAAGATTTTTCCAAACAAACGCTTAACACATCATTTATTTATTCCAAGTAGTGACTTTTATTTTATATAATCTTTCATTGTGATCTATGTCTGATTCTCTAAGTTTTAGGCATGCAATGATTTTGTAATGAAAAAAAGAAAAACAACTTAAAAGTGACCCTACTAAATTTTGCATGAAGGTATATCTCCTGGTATTTGTTTTCAGTAATTTCCTGGAGGAAGATCTTAAGGATAATTCTGTTGACATTTTCCTTAAACAAAGCTACATGAGTATGTTTTTAAAAGACGCCATTCCTCATCTGTTTGTTCTTGTTTCAGATGTGCTGTAAACCATGGGTGGTATAAAAGGGTGAATGGACTTGACTAATGGAAGCTCATAATTTAGACAGCAAACCCCAGAATTAATGTATTACCCCACTGCAGCATTTCAGTACTCAGCCAACCCAAACTCTCTTTCCGAGAGAAATACGTGATTGGGACGCTTTCCATCTGCTTTGACAAAGATAGGAGAAGATTCCCATAAGTTATGCTCTGCCGAAATTGTTTGTTCAAGACCCATAAAATGATCATTACTTTACAGGGTTATTTCTTCAGAGAATTTTCAGTGGCACCGAAATAAAAATTGAAAAAAAGGAAATCCACCTGTGCTAGATCAGCCTTTCGTGGGCACAGCGAAAACGTGTGCAGCTATGAGGAAACCACATAAAAAGTAGATACGTTTGGGGGAATGGGCGGCTTCACGCTCCCGGCTAATCTAAATTCCCTCTGTGCGAAGTAGAGACTTTTATAAAAAAGAAGAAAAGTAAGGTGAGCAAGAAACTAGAACACACTGCGTGGGGAGGGCTTGCCCCCACCCGAGTAACTTGCACGCTTGCACTGCCCGCGAGAGCCGCCGGCCCCACAGTCTCTGGAAAGGACGGCGCCTCCGCACTTACAGCTCGTCTAAAGGGGTTTCCAAGGTGTCTGGTGAGCAGGCGACGGGGCAGCGCGCCGTCAGCACTCTTCCAGGGAAAACCCAACTTCCAGGGCCCTCGGCAGCTGGGTCCCTTTCGCCGGCTTCTGCTCAGGGCTCGGCCTGCACCGGCTCCCATTCCCCAGACCTGTTCCCCAGCCTGGATCCCCGCGCTCCGCTGCCCCGCAGGACGCCGCCGGGACGCGGCGGGCAGAGCCCCCTCCCCGCGACTCTCCAGGTTCAAGGCTGGGACCAGCGGCTCCCGGCTCCCAAGTCCGCTCCACCTGCCTGCGGGCAGCCGGGGCTCCCAGGGGCGGCGTCTGCCCCGGCCTCTGCCGGGCGGTCGGCACCCATCAGCCTCGGCCCCGGCCCCGGCTCGCGGGCTGCACGGGCCACGGAGCCGCCAGCGCGGGGCAGCTGCTCCCGCCCACCCCAGGCAGACCCGGGCGCCGCCGGGCGCGCCTCCGCTCCCGCCAGCCGGCCGAGGCTCAGGCCGGGACGCCCCGCGCGAGCTGCCGGCGAGAACCAGGTGCTCGCATCCCGAGAAGAGGCCGAAGCCACAGCCAGCACGCCTCGGCTCGGGCGGCTGCCCCGGCGGCCGGCGCTCTGACGGACGCAAAGGGCGGCTGGTCCGCCTCTCTCCGCCCCCGGCCGCCCCGAGCACGCGGCTCCTCTGAGGCTCACTCCCCCGACGGTCGCCCGCATACCCGCCCACGGCGCCAAGGACGCCAAAGGCGACTGTCGCCAGTCCGCCCATTCCCGACCGACACCCGGCACGGAAGCCGGCAAAGGGCCCCAGGGGCGCCCCAGGGACACGGGAGCTTCCCAAACCGCCCCCATCCGCTGCCAGCGGGGGGAGACGCACCCCGTCTGCGCCGCCGCTGCCCGCCGGGCCTCCACGTGGAGGGACGCGCGGTACCTACCCCGGCGCGCGGGTCCGGGCGCGGGCGGCGCGGCGCTAGTGCGAGGCGGACATGGACCACGCGCCCTCCATGCGCCACACGGAGAAGGCGTAGCTGAGGCGCTCGTGGGCCACGTAGCTGCAGCTGGTCATCTTATTGTCCATCTCGTCGCTCTGCAGGACCTGGTAGAGGAAGTCTATGTACCTGGCGGCCAGCTTCAGCGTCTGGATCTTGCTGAGCTTGTCGGAGGGCAGCGTGGGGATGATCTTGCGCAGCGCGGCGAAGGCCTCGTTGAGCGACTGGGTGCGCTGGCGCTCGCGCACGTTGGCCAGGATGCGCTGGCTCTGCAGCTCCTCGAAGGACTGCGCGCTCGGGCTGCCCTTCTTGCCGCGCTTGCCCGGGGTCGGGCTGCCATCTTCGCTCGACTTCTTGCTGTAGCGCCGCTTCCGGCCGAAACGCTTGGGCTGCCGCTCGAGCTCCTCCTCGCTGGTCCCCAGGCTGTCCACGGGGGACACGGGCGAGCTGGAGCCCTCCTCCATGGCGCCCGCCCCGGCGCGCGTGGGGCTCGGGGCGCCGGGCGCCGAGCGCGCGCCGCCGGCCAAGCCCGCGGGCGCCGAGCACACGGTCTCCGAGTTGCTCGAAAGTCTCTGATTTCAAGGCCGGCTTGTGCAAAACCGAGGTCTCCGGGAGAGGAAGTTATTCTAACTTTTTTGGAAACTCTAGCCGGGCTGGGTTGCTAAATAGTTGTCAGGAGCGAGGGCGGCGCGCTGATTGGCCGCCGCGACCGGGGGCCGGACAAGTTCTGGGGCCCCCGCCGGCCGCCCCCGCCCCCCGGCGCGGCACTTTCAGTTTTGCCTCCCCCTCTGGCCCGGGCCGCGGCTGGCACCCCGGAGGCCCGGCTCCTTGCGTGCCGCCCGCGCCTCCGCCCGGGGTGCTGGCCACTCTGCGGCCGCCCCGCGCCCCGGGCTCCGCAGACCGGGCTTTGTCTGCTCTTTAAGCCTGGAGAGCGGGGCCCCGCCGGGCTGAGGGCGCTCTCCCGGGGTGCGAGGGGCCCGGGTGGCGAGTCTTACCCTCGCTACGCTCCCGGGAGGCGAGGACGCGGCAGGGAGCCCGGGACCCGTGTGCGCCTTGGCTGCCCCTGGGTGCGCGGCGAGTCCGCGCCGCGGCCCTCACTCTCGGCCTGGGGTAAGGGACCTGCGCGGGCAGCGGCCCGGGTGCCCTGGCCGCGGGCGTGGGGACACTTGGGTCCCCGTGGAGACGCCGCTCCCCACGCCCGCACCGAGAGGATCCGTGGAGACGCCGCCGGCGTTGCTCAGGCCGGGTGGCGGGGGCCGTTTCTCGCCCCAGCTTGACGAGGAGCCCAGGCTCCGACGCCCTTCGCAGACCCTCCTTGCAAGCGCCTTAAAACTCAAGCGCCACCGCGAGCCTCTGCGGGAGCGCCCGGTGCCCGCTTCACGCACCTGCCCGGCCCTGCCTGGGGGCCGGGGTGCAGGCCGGGGGCGCCCGCTAGGCCCCCGGCCGCGTACCCCAGCCGCCGCGGTTCCCCTGCGTTTCGCCAGCCGGCAGTGGACGGAGCGGAGCGGGGGCGGGGGAGGCCTGGGCAGCTGCTTGGCCTCCCCTGCGCTGGACGCCCCCGGGCAGGAAGGCTCGGGGCAGCGAGAGCGCGGGGCCGGGCCTCGGCGGGCGACACCGTGGACCCCGGCCCCGCGCCATCTGGACGCCGAGCGCGGGCGCGTTTGAAGTGGTTCGGGGGCTCTTTGTTCGCCAGGCCGCTCTGGCTCGGGGCCTGGAGGTGGTTTACGGCTTCGATGCCTTTGAACCTATTCCCAGGTGACCCGGGCTCAATTAGGCCCGGGCCTGAGCGGGGCTGTCAGGAACGCCGCGTGATCAAGGGCGGGCCGGGCCCTTTTATTGAAGTTGAACTCGGGGCCGGCGCAGCGCTGGGCCTGGGCTGCTGCTCGGGCCGCGGGCGCGCCCGCAGTCGGCGAGCGGAGGCAGCGCGCTGTGAAGCGCGGGCCCCCACACCAGCGTGCCCGCGTAACGGCGAGTTGTCTGTAGTTCCCTCGGGCCCGCGGGCTTCGCGGCCCCGCGACTCAAGGGTCCTCTGGAGTCGCCGCACCCCGCCTGGCCGCTCCCTTCCCCCTGCACTGGGAAGGCCCGGGTTTATCCAGCTCAGCAAAACAACTTCCGAATCTCTTTCTTTAAAATTACAAAAAGTAAAATAAGGAACAAAAGAGAGCCAGTGGAGTCTGCTACCTCGGGGTCCTTGGGGGCGGGGGGGGGGGGCGCAGCTCCGCCTGCGCTTTGTGCGTCCTAACTGGCCCGCGCTCCAGGCTCGCCCTCCGCTGACCGCCCCGCTCAGAGCAGGGCCACCGAGATTTGCTGCTGTCCTACTAAGGAGCGTGCCACTCGCGGTGGGGAGTCTTAGGACCCAGGCCCGGCTCTGGCCCAGCTGAAACTCGCCCAGTGACACCCCACACGCTGTCTCTTCTGCTGCTGAGGGACATCAGGACAGCCCTGGAAGTCAGATCTAAGAGGACATCATCTGCTGAAATTGCAGCAGTGACACCAGGAGGGTGGAGCTGACTCAGAAAGGGCTGACACCTAATGTCCAAGGCACAGGTCACACTCGGGCAAGATGCTCCTTTAAAATCCCTTCAGAGATTTCCTGGAAAAACAGCCCAGGCGGGCGGACAAGCCTGCATTACAATGGTTCTCCTATTGTACGTGCAGTCACCACAACCCTCTTAGGAGCGCGGCTCCTCCGCGTGTGTGGCAGGTGGGTGGGCGCCCACTCTCTCTCGGTCCTTCCTCTAGGGCCCTTCCTGCATTGCAGGGGATGGGAAGCTAAACGTGGCCTTTCTGACTTGGGCCCCGAGTGGGTGCCGTGCCTTGTGGCAGGATGTCCTTGTTAGCCCAGTGGTGGAGAGGTTTGGTCTCTGGCAGCGTGTTCACAGGATGTCCAGGGGTAGGGTACCAACGTCGGTTTTTCTGGAGTGGTGGCTCGGGAGCTGGAAGCAGTGGCGGCAGCAGCCCCCTGATTCGGGGCAGGCCTGGGGTCACTGCTTCCCTGAGGCAGCAGCTCCAAGTGCGCAGTCCGGTTTGGACGTCAGTCCCAAAAGCTCCACCTAGAGCCTACTTACTCAGCTCCACAGCAATTCCATCACGGCCTCTAGTAAGTTGTTTTCTTCCCGAAGCGGCCAGTGTGGGTCCTGTTCTCTACAACGGAACCCTGACGGAGATACCCCCACTCTGCCTGTGCCGTGGAAGAGGGGACTCTGGGGCTCCCCCAGGGCGTGCTGTACTCCTGTCATCACTGTCCTGTGCCTGTGAGGTGCAGCTAACACTGGCCTTTGGCACATTTATAAACGCCTAAGACTTAATCAAACTTGTTCTTGCAACCAACTCACAATATGATATTTTTTTCACTTGAAATATATACCAAATTTCAATTAAAAAACAACAATGGAAAGATCAACCATGAAATAAATATAATGGGAGGAGAGAAAACGGGGTTTCGGGGCTGGGACAGAAGTCAGGCACCTCTGCATAAAACGTGTTTTGTAGATTTGACTTTTACATAATTATAAAAAAATACATCAAAATGAATAAAATAGAAACCCCTAAAAAAATCAAAAGCAAAATCAAACAAATTGCACCTAATTTTGTATCATTTTGGTGGCTTAACCTTGCAGACGGGAATAATTTAAGATCACTTTAAAGCTCTATAATTTGAGTATACATCCCGAGTGGGTTATAGTCTAAAGGGAAAAAAAAACTGCAAAAAAGACTTAGAATGTTTTTGGTATTCACGTTTCTCGTGACAATATTGCTATTGTTATTCTGAAACTACAAGCTAAAGCAAATAAGTAATTATGTTTATATCTTTGGGAACCAAGATTCCCGGCCTGAAAGAAGAGAGGCACATATATAACAAAATGAAAGAAGCTAGATCAGACTGTGACGCTCTAAATTCGTTGGACAGGTCAGTGTGAACTCATGGGGTGTGTTCCCTTAAACAATGTGTGTCCTGGCCCTGACCGCTGAAAAGACCCACAAACACTGGGCAACCCCGTGGCAGTGAGCTCCGCTGGTGCCCAGACTGCGGCCCCTCCCAGAGGCAACGGCTGGCTTAAGGGCAGCGGCAAATGTGCACGAGGAGCCTGGGGCACCGCGAGGTGCCAGGAAGCAAGGAAGCGACGGTGGCTGCTGGGGTCGTGTCAGAAGGACTCACGAATGGACCCAAACATGGACTCACAGGCCAAAGATGGCACAAGACGTGTCAATAAAAATAACTGCAAGGGATGGAAACATGTTGGAGGGTAAAAGCCATGAGTTTATAATGTCAGTCAAATAAACGTATCCGTCACCTTTAGTTGACAACAGGACAGTGACTCACGATGCTGACACTCAGTAAATGAGGTAAAGATTCGAGTATGTCACCAGCCTTCCTTATCGAATTCTGCCTCCAAGTGACATAAGATTTGCTACACAGTGTTTTGCTCCACAGATGTACTTTGGATAATATATGGAGGCGGAACATTGCCATTCTGCACACCTCATCCTGGGTAACTCATCTGCTGAGTTAAGACTTGGGCCTGGAGACAAGACCAGCGGCCGCCGTGAGGGCTTCCTGCCGAATCGCCTCATCTCTGGCCTCCAGCTCCCGCATCTCCAGGAAATCCCGGGCACGTGGCTCAGACAGGTAAACTGGTGCCATGGGGACGTGGGCAGACCCGGCCCCTCCTCTGCTCAGAACCTGGGCGGTCCTCTCACTCTGTGTAAAAGTCCGTCCGGACACCATCTGTAAGGCCTGCCCAGCCTGGCCATGAAGATGCCCCCGACGGCTCTGACCTTGTGTCCCCGAGGCTGGCCCGCTCCACCCCAGCCACGCCAGCCTCCCAGCAGCTCGTCCCCCCGCAGTGTGTGCACCAGCACTAGAGCCACCCAGACAACCAATTGGCTGACTCCCTCACATCCTTCAAGTCTGTCCTGGGTATCTGTCACCTCACAAACCACCTGTTTCATCTGCTCACCACTGCATAGAACAGAGGTCTGGACTGTGTTCGGCTGGGTGGGTTTCCTGGCAGTCCTGCCTGGTGCCACCCCTGTGCCTGTGGTCATCTCGTGGCTCAGTCACAGACCTGGTGGTTGGAAGGCTGTCACTAGGGCACCTTGGTTCTCTATTACGTGGCTTCTCCAGCAGGTCAGCTTAAGCTCATCCTCGTTGTGGTTTCAAGACTCCAACCACAGCCCAAACCCAGTGCAGGCCTCACTGCACAGGCTGTCAAGCTTTTGTCTGTACCGTATTCATTCATGTCCCATGGGCTAAGGTAAGTCACATGGCCAAGCCCACATTCAAGAGTTTGGCATTGAAAAGTTGAGTGGCAGCTGTGTATATGCATGCATGCATGCACGTGTGTGTGTGTGTGTGCGTGCGCACGTGTGTGTGTGCATGCATTTTGTGTGCACGTGTGTGTGCATGTATGTGTGTGCACACACATGCATGTTGGTGAAGGCGGCCTGTTGTCACCCACAGACCTACTTTAAGATGATCACTTGGGGGCCCCATCATATTTGGGGAGTGACCCCTGCAGTCACCGGTATTTGTCCTCTTTTCCTTGTGGCTGGCCACTCTCTCCGGAGAGGAACTCAGCTCCCTCCTGTCTGGGACGTCAGCCTGGGCTCCAGGGTCCTGGGTGCCAAGGGAGGGAAGG